AATGTCCATATTCCTTAAGAGATGCACACCGAATATTAAGGGATGAAACGACAGAATGTTGTGGAATTTAATTCAGTTGGAGCAAAAAGTGGCAAAATGTTAATAATTGTTGAACTGAATGATGGGTATGCAAAAGTACATGTTTGAAAAAGTTTCTAATTAAAATTAACCACCCACTGACCAAAGGTCTCCACAGAGGCTGAGTTTCAGATATGAACAGCAGGCTTTCCAGGTGACTGACTTAAATGCGATCGAAGTCCTCATCCAGAGCTTTGGCAAGCAGTGCCCGGCCTCTACACACCTCCTCACTGGGAACATAGAGTTCTCAGCAAATCGTGACTGGCTCATTGCCGAGCACTCTGGATCCCAGGTACATCAGGCGCCCAGTTCAGAGTGTTATGGGGCATGGAATACTGCTCAGGACCCACCCACGTTACCCAATCCTCAAACTCCACTNATAATACCAACATGAGTCAGTGAAGCGACGTCCTCCACAACTAGACTGAATAACAAAAGGACAGCAACTTGTCTGCTCCCCTCCCCCAATTCCCCAATAAAATCTTTAAAAAAATTTTTCACTTGAATATATAATAAAGTCTGAATTTTAGAAAATCAGGTTAGTATAACTCAGTCTTATTCTTTCAGTCTTAGTCTATCTTAGACTTTGTAGCTCATCTCTTTACTTTTAGCAAGATCAAGCTTTCAAGCTTCTTTCTTCATCTACTTGTTTAGTCTTGCTTGTTAGAAGGTCTAGGAAAGATTTTGTTTCCTCTCCCATTTCATAGATTACCTCCTTTCTCTGGTTATCCATTGAGTTACTACCACAAGCTTCATTTCTAGCCATTGGACACTGTGTTTATCTGTAATAATAAGAACACAGTTCAAAGGAAAGGGCCATGAGAGCCTCTCGTTCTTGATGAAAGAGCCAAAAATCAAAATCAGGAGAATCTGAGCCCCAAACGAGACATCTCTGAAATAAGAATATCATTAAATATAAATCTGAAGAAAGAGGGGAAAGAGGACTACTGGAGCAGCACAGTTACTCTATGGTGAGCATGCTTTTGATTCATACCAATACGAGTATATACCAGGCTGTTAGCTCTTCCTAACCATTTATGTTTTGGATTTGTTTAGCCTGTAGGGAAGTTTGTCCTTATCATTCTTACACCTGTCCTTTCAATACCTTTTTCCTTCCTCCTGGGACCCCCAGATACATCTTTTGTGACCCATTCTCTCAAGGCCTAGCTCTTAGCTAGCTGGCAACAGATGTCACTTGTGGCAGATACTGTTAAGTTACCTATCTGACATCTATTCTACATCCTTCTTTTTCTTTTCCAACAGAGCCCTAATTTTGTGCAAGTAGATGGCCAGAGGAGGCTGGGTCCTTCCCACAGTGTCAGGGAGTGAACCATGATGGGTCAAAGCTAATTATGGTAGGTAGTCTTTTTACTCTTGATAATGACTGGTTTAGGATCAGTACATGACAATGCATTATCACCTTCACCAACATGCTAAGGATGGCAGAGGAGAAATATGGAAGCATTGGGACCTTGATGGTGTCACTGAACCACTGAATTAACAAACCTGTAACTGTCCTACCTTTGAACAGTTTTGTTGGGTTTTCAGTTACCTGAGGTGGGAGCTATCCTGATATTCCACCAAACCCCAATAATTATTTTGTGAATTTTGATGTTTCATTAACCATTCACCCATTCCATGTGTAACCTTTTAAGTACAGGCACATGCCTGGCACTAGAATGGAAAATATATTCAGACTCACTCAGAATTTCTTATGAAGCTATGTTATCATCCTTGTTTTTTCAAACATCTTTGTAAGCTAGAAACTTCTTTGAAACTGCACTCTAAAGAGAGGCGTTCTGAATTCTTTGAAGCAGAGAAAAGCAAAGTTGTATATTAGCCAAGAGGACCCAAGNAAAGGAAGTAATGTTGCCAGAGAGGGTGCGTTTAGAGATGGCAGTAGTGCAGGTGAGAAGCTGGTAAGGCAAGTGGCTGGTCCACCTCTGGGGGACGACTGGGGGGTGCTCCCAGACCCCTCAAGTATGCTGCACTCAATGTCACCCCAGGTCAAAGCCCAGCTCTGATATCCACTGAGACACCTGTCTCACTCCGTGCTTCAGCTTATCTGTCCCTGGGAAGACAAACGAGATGGCTACTTCCATCGGCCCACCCTAATCCCTGGCCCAGCTCCACTTCTCCTCCCTCCCTGGTCCAAGCAGTCCCTTCTCCAACATTCTCAGCCTCCTCTTTTGCACATATTCCCCTCCAATTGTTTTATCTGTGCCCTCCACCTTCTGCTCCAGCACAACAGTGACAACAAACCAACAATGTCCCCTCTCTGAAATCCAGCATCCCTCCCTCGGGAATCACTTCCCCTGACTCCCTACAGCTCACACCCTGGTTGATCCCTTTCTCAAGCCCTTGGCTCCCTCCATCCTATGACAAAGCACCACCCTGGTCTTCCCCGGGCACTCCAGGCTTCTTCTCAAGTGACGCACAAAGGAAGATTAGGGCACACTCGTCCACGGCACAAGAACTAAAGACCACCAGTCCCCGAGGAATATGAAATTCTGCAGATGCCAGGTTTATCTGCTTGAAAAATCCAATACTGAACTCCAAGCTCTTTCATTTAGGAGGGAAGGTAGAGAAAAGGAAAAACAAACCAGTGATGGACACGGGACACTGCCTTGCTCATCAGTAAAACAGGTCAAGGACTAAAAAGGGAGAGTGAGGGAAACAGCGAGTGCTCTTCATGGCTCGTCAGCTCAAGCAAGCAGCTGCAGGCGGTGGCAACCTGGGCTCGTTCCAAAACCTCACTGTAGGAGGAATGTGATTTACTTACAGGGTGACAAGAAACAAACACCCAGCACTCTAGTTCCAAACAGACTCCCTCTTAAACCCAACCCATCATGCTCTGAGGAAAGCCCGTATACTCATCACATACAATTAGATCACATCTCTTCAAGCACGAATTGATGATACTGGAGGATTCCATTTGAATGAAATTCTGAAACTGGCTAAGGGAATTGATGGTGACAGAAATCAGAAAGTGGCTGGAGTGGGGCACTGAGAAGGGGTGTAAGGCGATGACGATGTTCTAAGTATCCTTCGGTGGTCGTCAAACATATGGATCTGCTCACTTAAGATCTGAACACTTGGCTGAATGTTAATTACAACTCAATTTTGAAATAAGATGATAACAGGTGGTTCTGGTGTGGTCCCAGGTCCAGGCCATTCTTTCCTTTGGGTCAGTTTCTATCATCCCCTAAATTTCATATTGAGAATGCATTTCGTCTTTCATTTACCAAAATTGTACTGACAATCCATGCCCTGCTCTAGGTACTGCAGTTGCAGGACGGAGCATAGTCAGAAATCTCTGATTATACAGGATGTGGGGAACAAGGTGGGGGAATGCGTCAGGGTGTGTGTTTTCCTGTATCATTACCTAAATACAGAAAGCACTTCTTTTGTTCAAGGAATTCCATGGCAAACAACAGCACACTGGTGAACACCGAAAGTGCTGTCCACCAGGCTGGGCAGGGAGGCGTTAATACAACTATGTGGGAGGGACGCTGTCCTCNCGGGAAGAGTGCAATGATAATACCAACATGGGCCAGTGAAGTGACGTCCTCCACAACTAGACTGAAGAACAAAAGGACAGCAACTTGTCTGTCCCCCTTCCCCAATTCCCCAATAAAAATCTTTTTTTTTAAATAACTGCTTTATCATATCTTCTTATAGTAATAGAACCTCATCCTCTATAGCAAGCAAATTCCTGTCAAGCTAGGCTTATATTTCTTGGCCTCCTTTAAGTCAAGGTGAGATTATATGCCCAAGTTTTTACCAATGGACAAGAGTGAAAGTGATGTAAGCAACTTGTGTGTCATGTCCTCAAAAGGAAATTGTTAAATTTTAACAATTGATGAAGCTAGGTGAAGGAAATATAGGTGTTTATTGCATTATTCTTTCAAATTCTCAGTAGGCTTGAAAATTTTAAAATAAAAGCTGGGGTTAAAAAAAGGAAATTGCTTGCTTTCCTCTTCATCCCCTCTCTCCCCTTTTCCCATGTTGCCATCCATGGAATATGGATGCAGTGGTAAGCCCCTTCAATCATACAACAGAGGGAAAACCCTACGTAGGTCCATGCTACTCAAAGTGGTCTGTGGTCCAGCAGCAGCAGCATCACCTGGGAGCTTGTTAAAAATGCAGAACCTCAGGTCTCACCCAGATCGACTAAATCAGAATTTGCATTTAACTGAGAATCTGCATTTAACTGGATCCCTATGCAGATTTATATGCATATTAAAGTTTGAGCATTCCCCAGGTGAAAACAGAGTAACAACATTCTGTTGTTTCCAGCATTCAATGTACAGATGAGTTTAGGGTAAGTTTAAGATGAACTGTCAAAATTAAGAAGGGCATATATATCCATTCAAACTTTAAAAACACTCTTTTTAAACACTAATGAGAAAATAATAGTAGCTATTTTCCCAGGGCTTACTATGTGCCAGGCACTGTTAGGCAGCTTACACAGGATCTCATTTATCCTCAGGACAATTGTTTCAGTTAGGTACCACGTGTTACAAGGGATATTGAAGGTAGTTGTCCTCTTAAAAAATAATAAGAAGAAGAAGTCTAGGGCCGGCCGAGTGGTGCGTTGGTTAAGAGCTGCCTTGGGAGGCCAGAGGGCCCCGGTTCGGATCCCACATATGAGGGCCAGTGACACTGCCCTTTACAGCTAAGATGCTAAATATCTTAAACAGCTCAACCTGGAGCTGGGCTGCCAAGAGTCGCCGGCGCGGCGTAGTCTGCAGCCCCTGCTGCAGTGGGTTGCCATGGGCTACCGTGTGTAGCCAGCAGCNTCCCACTGGCCCCCAACCGACCCCCCGCCCGCCGCTGCCCGAACTGCTGCTCCTCCCTCCACCTTACGACCCCTCACCCCGAGCCAGATTCGGCGCTCCCACCACAAGCCCGAGTCGCACCTCGGGCGGGAGCCGGCGGCAGTCGACGGCGTAGTCGGACTCAGCGCATCCTGGGGTCGCAAGGAGCCGGAAGCGGGGCCGTGTGAAGCCCGCAACGAGTTATGTAACCGGCAGGGGCCGCAGCCGGGACGGAGGCGGCGGTCCGCGGAACTTCCGCCTCCCGCGCCGGGCCGGCGGCGCAGACTGGAAGCCCATTGGCTACTGGCGCCCACGTGGGGCTCCACCTACCAGACGCCGACGCCGCCATCTTAGGAGCGGGCAGGCCTAACGCGAAGCCCGGGTGGTGGAGGGTTTGGGGGGCGTTTAGGGGAGCGGGTGTGCGTCTGCAGGGGGCCGGTGAGGCTCTAAGAGCCTACGGAGGCGCCAAGTTGATACGGGCCGGAGCCCGAGCGCCCACGCACAGACAGGGAGGCTGCCAAAGATGGGAATTGCTCACAGTCCTCCAGTTCTCAGCTAACATTCCCCTGGTTTGGTTTGGGACTTGGGCTTGGTCAATCCCCGGCCCCGGGGGACTGTTGAGCCACGGAAAAGTAACTGAGTGATCACCCCCGGCTGGCGAGCAGCATCACCCTGCCTAGCGCTGGACATCAGCCAACAGCCAAAAGTCCCTCTCTGTAGAAAGGCCCTTTGGGCCGTCGCTGTGTAAATGGGCAAATATCAGTTGCCCTCAAGTTGCAGGAGGGTCTGTATCACAAGATCTAGGGAACCGTGTTGAGCAAAATCTGATGTTAACTTTAAAGCAGGAATTTATTCTATGCTTTCAAATAACTGCCCACAAAGCCGAAGAATGAAATAAGAAGGACCTAGCTTAGAGCCGAGGGCTACAATGATGAACCCTTACAGGACTTAGTTCATATCCAAGAGGATAAATGTTATCACGGATTTAAACAATATAAATGAAATAACAGTATTTTAGAAACGGTAAAAGCACATTCTTTTAACATTTTTACAAGGAAAAGCCTCCTAAAGAGATTATAAGTTTTTTGTTTNGAAGCTGGCAACTTTTTATACTCAGTAGCACCTCTTCACTAAAGATGTCAACTTGGAAGGAAGCATTCAGTTCCACTTAACGGGAGACTTCATCAAAGGTTCCCACAGACGTGGCTCCACCGAGCATGGCTCCTGCGATTTCCCAGGAAGGGAGGGTGCCAGACCTAAGCATCATCTCAGCATGGCAAAGGCCTCCACGCAGTTCAGGTCATCGTACATTTCAGGGCTTTGCTCTTTAACTTTCCATTGTGTCCCGAGATGAGATAGATCTTATTTTCTTTAAAATGTTATTTTACCATTTTGTTTTTTTACATCATGACCACAGTAAAATGACCCAATGTGGAGGGCATGGTCTCAGGCCACTGGCATATATGCCACCTGCAACCCCTGATCCTCTTTTCAAAGGCATTTGGGCTAACCTTGGTCATGGCGGTCCAAGAGAATCCTCTGGTTGTTCTGAGGTGCTACACCAGAGCCGCCAAGACCTGGCGGGTCTCTACATGTCAGAGGGACTGGATTGTGGGAGGGTTGCCCAAGGACTGTTTGCCTTTTGTGACTCTGCTAGGTCAGTGTCAGAATTGGAGAACAACAGCCCAGGTTTGGAGAGAGACAAGGACAAAGAAGAACAGAATTAAGAACAGGACCCGGAAGTAAGAGGGATCAATGAAATGGAGGCCAGAGACGTGGAAACAAGACCAGACAGACCCTGTGGCCCCTGGCTTGGAAATTCAGACAAGTCTGATCTTCCTAGAATAGAAAATGAGGTAGCAGATGATCCTGCACTGCTTGCTCACACAGAAAGATGCAGCCAGAGCTCAAAGCCGAGACAAGAGGGGTGTGAGCTGGATGGGTCTGGTCAAGTGCCTTTGCCCAGTGACTTTTTAAGCCAGGATCTTGGTAGGAGGCCATCTGACAATGCGCGCCCAGAGTATACGAGTAATTCCCAGTTTGGATGGAGTGACCGTGTCAACCAGTTCAGTTTAAAAACAAAACAAATTAAACAATGAACCCACCTGTAAAGACTGGATCGGGGTGGCTGGGTATCAAAGGATCGTAAGGTGTATGTTTTTAATCAGCATTCTTGACTATCACCCAAGACTGGAACCTGCCTAGGACTCAAAACCAAGAGCAAGTCGGTTCTTCCCCAGAGAACTCTGATGCCCACAAGCTACCCTCACACTGCTTGGGGGCAGGAGTGGGCAAAATGGACGAGCAGCTACTCAATTTGAAAGGAAAAAGTACAACAACAGGGAAATCGGGTTTCAGAAACCCTGCCCGTCCACTTGCTGCTGCCCCTTCAGCAAACCAGCTCTNCTACGCTGTGGCCGGTGACTCATGGTAGCCCAGCTCCAGGTAGAGCTGTTGTTCACCATCATAGATGTAGAGGGCAGAGCGTCACTGGCCCTCATGTGGGATCCGACCAGGGGCCCTGCTGCTCAGAGCTGGCGACTCAAGCCAGCTCTTAACCAACGCGTCACTTAGCCGGCCCAAGAGCTCGATGTTTTAATTCCAAATCTCTACACCACGGCACCCAGTGTCAGTAAATTGGAAAATATGTCGCAATGGGGCAGGTCGAATGTGAGGTATAAGGAGGCATACCAGGCACAACATCCCGCAAAGGAAAACGATGGTTCTACTCCAGCTTCAGGTTCTGAGGCTGATCTCAGTAGGGCTGGAGCTGCGGGGCACAGTGCCACGGCAATACACTGGGTCCGGGACTAGCAATCCGGCCTAAGACGATCTGAATTTTGTCCAAGGTAGAAGACACTCCTTTACATTCCACGTACCCACAGTCAGCCCAAGACACCAGAGAACAGCTCAAGCCAAGAGTAGGACCCGCATTCCTGGTCACTCATTCACCTCACCCCGGCCGCACCCAAGTTTCGGTGCCGATAATCTTTCGTGTTTCGGAGTTTCCCTCTTAATTTCCTTCTTCCCTGAAACATTACGTCCTCTTTAGTCACCCTAACGCTTCACTTGATGGAGTCAGCCCGACAGAAACTCACCAGGGAGACCCAGGCATCGGAACCGGAAATACTTGTTTGGAAAACTGGAAAGAAAACTACATCTCCCCGCATGCAAAGTGAGCCATCGGCCAGCCGCTAAGGTGCTCGATTGATAAGCACATGGGAACTGCCCCTTCCGCAGTCACGCTTGGCCAATCACAGGACAGGGTTGGTAAACGAAAGGGGGCGAGCCGCTTCCGGCGGCTTTCCCGGCAACTCAAACATTGCGGAGAATGGGAATGTGGGAGACTCAAGGCAACGGTAGCTCGCGGTCTCGGGTCTCATTTGGGGTCGCTTTCTGCTGCTACTTCCAGAGTAGCAGGAGATTTTCTAAGATCATTAGTTCCAGAGCAGTAAGTGGGGCCCGGCGGCACGGGAGTAGGCCCTTCCGAGGCTGGGCCCGGGAGAGGAGCCATCGTCTCGGGCCTTAAAAGGGTTGGGGAAGACAGGGAGCCTGGGTGTGCGTGGAGGAGCTTTGCAGCCGAATTGGCCCTCCAAGGATTTTTCTTGTTCCTCCCAACTCTGTCCCGAAGTCCCTGTGGTGTCTTGAAGAAGGCATTCCCGCCCTCCGATATGGCGTCCACGCTCCCACCAACCAGGGCCCAGGTGAGACCAAGGCCCTTCTCCCTGTCCAAGTTCCGGTGGCTACTTTCTGGCCGCTGCCGTCCTCCTTTAGAAGGTATGCCAGGAGGGCGTCTGATCTCCAAATAGCTCTTTCACCAAGCTGTCTTGATTCCTAGAACAGGCACATAGGAAAAATAGCTTATCAAATTGTAAATTCAGAACCACCACCTGGGAGCAGTGCCCATTGGAGAAGGCTATAACAGACTATCTCGAAGTGTCTTTCTGGAATGCTGTTCAAATTGCAGGTTTAATAAATAAACAGAACAAACCCCCCAACTGATTCTTAATCACACTGAAGTTCTGATGATTTATAGGACTGGTAAACTTAGGGAAGGAGGAATAGGCCTNCCCCCAAATGGTCCCTAAATGAGCTAACCTGTGAAAGTCAGCACATTCTCCCTTGGCTCCCTGATTGGCTCAGATAACTCAGCAAGCTGGCAGGGATTGGTTCAGGAAAGGTCTAAACAGCACCGACTTCAGTATTGATTGGTCCCCTAGTTTTTGCCTTCTTGGTTTCTTTTTCTCTTTCTGGTGTGCTTTGAGATATTTCTTCCACTTAATCTAACAGTCCACTGGCTTTGTGACAACCAACCTCACCTTTAATTTATCTACTGAACTTAAATAAAAAATAAAACATGCTTTTCAGTTCCAGAAAGTTTTGCTACAATCAAATCTCCTCCAGTTGTAGTGGGGGTAGAGCTGTCATTGTCTGTTCTAGAAGTTCTATTTCATCAGGAACTGCCTATTCTGAGAGTTCTGCTGGCTCCTCCTCCCTCTGTCTACAAGGTGTCTTCAGGTGTATTGTTACTTTTCTCTTGCCTACTCCTGGCTCTTTCTACCCTCCATCCGTTGGTCAAGCAGAGAGATAACCTACCAGCACTGCCAGTGGGTAGAGCCAGCAGTCTCTAGGCCTGTAATCTAACCACATTCCAAGTTTCCGAGCAGAGGCAGTCCTTTATGGAGCACTTGAGGAAAAACCCTCAATTCTTACCCCCTCAGCTGCAGAACCCTCTTCCAGCCTCAGAGATAGGGAGGTAATCAGGCTCCTCTGGGCCAGGCAGAGCAACAAGCTACCATCTACATGGGCATCTGCCAATTACTCATTAATAATATCTCATGAAGGATGATACACTAAAGTCCGTAAGAACCAGAGACATACTTACTTTTAAGTAATGGACCCCAAAAAGCAGTACCATCTGGAGTGTTAAAAACACCAAACCTAGTCAGCAATTAATTATGGAAATAATGTTTAAAATTACCAAGGAAAAAATATAGGGTTGTCGGAAAAGTCATGACGCATTTTTGCAACGAAAAACATAGAAAAATATGTCATGACTTTTCCGACAGCCCAACATAGAGTGAGGAGTAAACAGTGGTAATATCAGGGTGGTATGAATGTAGTACTTTTATTTTTGAAATGTTTTCTCATATGCATTTTATAACTNGGCCTTTGAATTTCGCAAGAAAGAGAGTTGGGAGTTCCAGCATTGTTTTGCAGGTCAGCATTTTACTTGAAAGCACTGCTCATGGTCACAAGGAAGACA